ATACACACATATATATATATAGGTTAGACTTTTTTCAATTAGGTAAATCGATGTGCTTATCTTGATTTTTCCATTTTTTAAAAATAATTTTTTTTAAAAAAAATAAGAGTGTACAGCCATAAAAATGGGGCTGTAAGATTTTACATGTTACAACAAAAGAAATTTAAAAAAAAATTAAAGAGGCGGTAGCTTATAGAATTAAAGCAAAAACATGATTGGTAACAAANGATGTAGGTTTNAAANNTAAAGAATTAAAGCTACAACATGATTGGTAACATAATGATGCTTTAAGAAAAATTAAGGCTGTAGACAAGGCTTAAAACCCAACCAATTATGCACTAAAACAACAAGATTTAGGAATACGTCATCCAATATAAAATAGTACTAGTACGTAAGAAATTAAGGCTTTGTCGTTTGATTTCCTCTTGAGCGTTTTCTGCTAAATATGTCATCATCTTCCCGAAACTGCAAAGAGTCATCATCATCACTTAGTCTTCTGTATCTTCCTAGTGACTTGCTTTGGAACTGTTTAGCCCGCGTCCCTAGATTGTACTACCCGACTCTCTCCTTAGTTTCCAAGAGATTCCGCTCTCTCATTGCTTCTATGGAGCTTTACCAGACCCGAAGGCTCTTAGGCTGCACCGAGAATTGTCTCTATGTGTGTTTTCGGTTCACTCGTGAATCTAATCCAATGCGTTGGTTCACTCTTCGCCAGAGACTGATTCAAAAACGTAACCCTAGTTCTAGTTGGTTTACTTCTTGCTTTGCACCATATAGATCCCTAAAGAGTTGCACTAGGAAGAAAGAAAAGAAGTCTCAAGTGAGAATGTTTTGGTCTCAGTCCCACCTCGCAATTCTCGTTTGGGTAGGGCGGATTTAATCGCAGTTGGTTATAAAATTTACAAGATTGGCGGATGTATCGATGGTGAACCTTCGTCTAAGGTCTTTTTCATAGACTGTTTGTCTCACACATGGCACGAAGCTCCAAGCATGCAGATGGAGTGTTTCGATCCCCAAAACCCAAAAGTGGGAGGATGTGCGCGCCAAACCCTAGCGCCGAGATACTTGGGACATATGTTGATGAAATTTTAGCAATCAAAGGAAATATTTACCTATTGGGGGACAAGGATGTGGTTTACAAGCCCAAGAAAAATGTATGGGACGAGGTAGAATGGGAAAAGCATTTGAGATGTTATTCTTGCGTGATAGACAATGTGTTATACTTTTCCGATAAGTTGGAACGATAAAATGGTATGACTCCCAGGGAAGCACCTGGAGAGTTTTGAAGATGATAGTCGTTTTAAGTTGGTGAATAATGGTGGAAAGATTGCGGTTTTCTGGGAGGAAGATTTGGTTAAGTCTAATAACAAGATGATTTGGTGTGCTGAGATTTCGCTCAAAAGGCGTAGAAGAAATCAGATTTTTGGGAAGGTTGAATGGTGCACTTGTTTGCTTATAGTCCCCAAGTCATGTTGTTACGAGCAATTTATTGCTGCTACTCTTTGATGAGCAAACACTTGAGCCATTGCTTGAATATGTGTTGAAAGATTTTTTTACTGTTTAAAGTCATTTGATTCACTTCTAGTTATGAACATCTTCACTTCTCTTTTTTGGTGTTGGCTACTTTTCAAATGCTTTGTT